GGTTACGTTCCGGTATACCGGACCGTACCCAGGGTACGTTCCGGCTGTACCCTGGGGGACATAGACCCTATCAGCCGTAGTAATAGTAATACTAATAGTAATAACTAGGTAAATAAGGGCTTCTGATAATTTCCTGTAAATGCCTTTAAAATGGTCCGCTGCAACACACAAGTACTAAAGTAATGATGTTCTGTTTGTTTTGTTTCCGCTCAGCAAATCCTGATGATGAGTGTACGGGCGCAACCCTGCCGCCGCCGCGGACGCGTTGCGCGAAGTGTTTCCCGACTTGACGTTTGGCGTCAATGCCGAGAAACCAAGTGATTTGAATGCACCCTCGTAAAGAGAGCGATGGCACAGGTCAGCACAGCACAAGTCCAGTTTAGGCACCTTATGACATTAGTCACCAGGTGATGCAGAAAATTACAACTTTAAATCAAAATTACACTGTAGAGCTTCTACTGGGGTGATTGCGAGACCAGTGTGTAAGAGGTTGCGGTGGCACTATGTGTAACAGTGCAGGGTTATAGATGACCTCTTTATCGTTAACAGCGGCTAAGCGGCAAAACGACCAACAATTTGTGGCAGGAAGGAAGCTTTTCATTTTTCTTCTCGTTTCAGAGGTTCTAGTTTTGTCCGGCATCAAGATGGGTCCTCCGCGAAAGCTGAAGTTTCCAGAGGGGGAGGTGCTGTTAGTAAGAGTGAAGGTGGCACTGCAAGAATAGAAGAAACCATAACCATTGCTGTGTGAGAGAAACCATAGGATACCACAGGGAACCATTAGATACCATAGAAAACCATAGGATACCACAGGGAACCATTAGATACCATAGAAAACCATAGGATACCACAGGGAACCATTAGATACCATAGAAAACCATAGGATACCACAGGGAACCATTAGATACCATAGGTTACCATAGGATACCAGAGAAATCATAACCGTTGGTGTGTGAGAGGTCAAGACTACGATGTAATCGCATGTACCATGAACGTATGCATGTTATGCGTTCACGCATGTTAGCATACACTTTGGCATACATATGTTCGTGGACATTACCCCTAGCTGCTGCAGTCAGTGCAGTGTAAGTCGTATGCTCTTCTTTGCTTTATGTAAATCAGTCATTCATGTTTTGCCAGCATAATATCATATATTTTTTAGATAGAATTTAAATTTTAGATAGAAACCACTTCTTTCCCAATTATATAATCACTCAGGTACTCTGATTCGGTAAGATATGACAAGTATCACTTTTATTCTGCAGTATTTTTGTACACATATTTTTCGAGTAACCTTTAGCATGCAACGTTATTCTTTTTCTCCCAAGTGCTGCATATGATGGAAGAGTGCGAAAAAATAAGTTCTCTTCTTGATGTTGTCAGCCCATATGATAAAGAGCAACGTTTCCAGTAGGGGGCACTACGTGCACCCAACACTTTATATAATGTAGGAATTTCTTTTATATGCTCCTACTCTGTGTAAATTGCAAAGAAATATGAACAGATTATATACTATTAAATGACGTGTACTTTTTCGATAAAGAAATTTATTTGTTAACAATTCTCGTAGGTAACAATTGTATTCAAAAACAAGCTGGCCCCCCAAAACAAGCAAGCACCCCCAAAACAAGCAAGATATGTTTTTGGCACATGTATAATTATTACTATGAGATAAGAATAAACTTGACCTACATGACTGTGGAATGAAAATTCACATATATTTATGCGCCTTGGAAATTCAACAACAAAGTAGTTGCCTATACAAAAAATGTAGTAAAGCCATCTAAAATGGGGAAAAACGCAACAACTATTACTATAACAATTGCTAATTCTGTAAGTGCATCAAAATCCATCTGGTGTATAACTAATGTAAATATAACATACATGTATAAAACGGATACAACAGCACCACTGAGGAACGAAAAACGTGCGGGCACATCACAGCAAAACAACACGTAGGCCTACCGTTCTACCTTACTACGTGGATAAAAAAGCCCTGTAATATGCATTCTACACAAAATAACAGGCAAACTCGCTTAACATTTGAATTCGTTAGTTGCCATGCCGACCATACAATAAAGGTTAGACACATTGCGTGCATCCACCATTTTACCAAATGTTCATCGTACCACAATCTGCGCATGAACGCACGTGATGCTCGAACCATTCCAAGCGTTTCCCAAACACATTGATCACACTGTCCTTTTGCGTTCGGCACAAAACGTGTAATGCACGTCCACCCGCTTGCTAGTTCTACAGGTATAGCTCCTCCCCTCCATGTAGTGGGAGGGAAGCGGCTACATCGGTAGAGCTACCAATTTGCAAGCTGCTTACTGCATAATTACCTATGCGAACAATCCAAAACGCGGTTCTTCCACCGAGGGCAGAGCGACGTCTTTCACTCCGCACGAAAAACATTTTCGCGCACACCCGCCTGTTCGATGGACGCTTACCGTAGACAACCTACACAGACGCTACACTTCCAAAATGTAGTTCTAACCCCCCCCCTTCGAGGTCACTCACTCCGTACAATAACATATACAAATGCGGCACTCGAATCGTCCAAAACGTAGTTCTCCCCCGACTCCCCCCCCCCCATCCCAAGAGGTCGCTCACTCCGCGTCGGTCGACCGCAGTATCTCAGATGGCGTCTCGCAGTCGCGTGTGTGGTGGACGACCTTCGTCTCAACCGGCCCGATCTCGTACCACCTCCGCACCGTGCGATTCATGCCGTAGTCGACCGTCCGATCGATCGGGTGTATGATGAACGGGATCGCCGCGAGACCGACGAACGTTGTCGTCCACTTTCGCACGCCAGGTGGCAGCGCGGTCGTCTTGCGCAGGATCAGCGCTGACCCGGCGCAGATTCGGTTGATGGTAAAACCCGGAATGGCGACGGACGCCAACCCCTGCCAGAGGAAGGTGTCGAGGACAGCGTGTAGGATTTTCTTGTTCCGCAGAGATTCGTCCGGCCAGTTTGTCTGGGGAGGAAAAAATTCACGATAGGGCCGTCCGTCACCTGCATCGTCGAATCGGAAAATTCGTCTGCCCCCATGTTAGATTTATCGCTGCAGAAGCAGCTGCAAACACCACAGACTATCAAGAGTGAATGAAAAGAAAATAGAAAAAGATGGCTAACCCATTTTGCCTCGGGGGTGGGGGAAAGCCATGTGCACGGTGTGTTGTGGGAAGGTGACCGTTTCAATCTGGCATCCAAACTCGCCACTAACGTCTTTTAGCGATCTCTCCCACCCGTCGTAATTCGCCTATTGATGCTTCTCGATGTGCTCATGAATCAAGATCAAGACTGCCATTGACAATGTCATCCATCTACACTTTTCTGGGGGAGGGCAACCTCCCCCCCCCCCAGCTATAGCTCAGGTATATTTACTGCTTAACCGAGACATTTTTTATGGATCTCGACCCTCCCATGTAAAGCAGGGGGAGGTGTAGCTCTAGTAGTACTATAGCCAGACGAACAAGGGCTATAGTACTAGAGCTCGGGGGAGGTGGGGCCACCGCGTATACACTACATGGATACATACGATTCTAGCTTCGTTGCCCTTGTGCGCGGCGTCTGCCGTCACGTAGGTGCAGGCGACCGCGTAGCTGAAGCGCACTGCATTCACGTGAACCAGGGCCCTGAACGCCTCGCCCACCTCGTTCGCGTAACCTGCAACGCAATCGCACACCTCCCTCGTAAATAATTGTCTTTAAAGTCCAAGGGACTATATATCGAAGAAGGACCTCCGATTAGAGGGAGAGTTAATTTTACAATTACCCAAAGAAGGAAGACGATTCCAATGTGGAATGACAGATCTGAAGAAGGGAAAAACAAGGGATCCTTGGAAGACGACCGATACAATGTCAAAAGCAATGGTCACGCTCCGATGATTGAGTTAGAACTATATGAATACTGAATAGCTTCCTTTAACAATAACCTCATAAAGATTAGATTTCAAAGTTAACACAATCCTATGGTTTGGGACCCCAGCCCTCATTTTCGCAAATGTGCTAAATTAAGCGGTGCTAAACTAGAATTGGGCCCAGGTGCACCCATAGGGGGTCCATAGCCACCCCAGGCAATTAGTACAGTACCAGACAAGACAAGGGGCAGGGGACTATAGCATTGATTTACATTTAGCATGTAATGTATCATTGTATGAATTAGCTCTAGTACTATAGCCCGCGTTATAGCCCGCGTTATAGCCCGCGTGTATAGGCCTCTACTATTGAACGCGGGCTATAGTAGTTAGTACTACTACTAGAGCTATGTATGAATCATGAATGTAACAGTGACTCGAGGATTACTGCTGGAACGTCTACAGAAGTATACACAAAGTTACAAACTCACCTAAATATCTTACAATTGTGTCCCTGAAGATGTCCACCCGCTTCTCACCCTGTTCCACTTCCATAGTGGCAACAGAACCCCAATACTTTATCTTATCT